ACAACAACAATAGTAATAATAACAATGATAATGATGATAATGATTATGTATATTCGTGGTATCATCTATATTAATATTATAACTGAAGAAGACGAAAACTCAAAGGTACTCCCCCCCTCCTCTTTCCCTTTTTCATCCTTCGCCTTCTCTCTCTTTTCCTTTCCCTCTGTCTCCCTTTCATCTCCCTTTTCCTTCCCCGTTCTGCCTCTCCCTCTCACTTCCAAATATTCCTGTAATTCACTCCCTCCCTCCCACTTCCCTCCTCTCCCTCCTCGGCCTCCCCCACCTACTTCTCTCCTTTATCCCCTTCCCTCTCTTCCTATCCCCCTCTTCTCTCTGTGCCTCTCTCCCTTTCCCCTTACCCATCCCCTTTTTTCCTCTTTAAGTCTCCTATGTTCCTCCCTTTCTCCTTCCTCCCTCTCTTTTTTCTCTTTATGTCCCTTCCTCTCCCTTTTCCCCTTTCTACTTTAAGCTCCCTTCCTCTCCCTTTCTCCCTCTCCCCTCTTTCTTCTTTAAGTCCCCTTTCTTCCTCCTCTTCTTTTCCCCTTCCCCTACGCCCTGGTTTATCACCCTTCTCGGATAATCTTCTAAATTATAACTTTTCATAAATTGACGGTCTAACTGCTTCAGTGCAGGGTTAAACAACAGCGATGATAATGATAATAATAACAATAATGATAATGCTAGAATAAAAATAGAATTGTAATAGGTCGTAATATAATTCTTTTGTGTGCTTTTTGTCTTTTATTTCCATTTGTCTATTCTATTAACTTATTTATTTATTTGTTTAATTAGTATTATTATTATCATTTTGTGTGTGTACGTGTCATGCTTTAATATCTATGTTGTCAGTTATCACGAAAATTTACATTACTGTTATCATTATTACTATTATTATTGTCATTATTATTATTATTATCATTATTATTATTATTATCACTGTTGTTAGTATTAGTATTATTATCATCATCTTAATTATCATCATAATCATAATTGTTATCATCATTATTATCATTTTATTATTATTATCATCATTATTGTTATTATTACTATCATCATCATTATCATTATCATCATCATTATTATTGCTATTATCATTATTATTATTATCATTATCATTATTATTATCCTTATTATCATCGTTATTGATACACACGTTCATTATTATTATTATTATCATCTTTATCATTATCACTGTTGTTGTTGTTATCAGTTTTAATATTACCACTTATTATTGTTATCATTAAGGTTGATAAACCATAACTATATGGAAAATTGAGGAATTGCATTGAGCAGGGAAGGAACTGCAACTCAAGACGAAATGCAGACGAAAAGAAAAACAAACAAACAAACAAAAATGCGAACAAACCACCAACAGGTAAACAGGTAAAGACAGTAAAGCAAATAAAATAAAAAAAAGAGACATAGAGAAAAAAAAAACATCAAAATCATTCATTCACCAGCAGGAATATTAAAAGGATTTTAAACAATACGAATGCTGATTAGCCCAAGTGACGCCTAACTTACAACGGTCTTATTATTAAAGATTTACGAGGCACATATAACGCCCGATTACGGACCGTAAAAACAGGGTACTTCTGTTATTACTAATCATGTCGATACTAATGAGACGATACTAATGAAGATTAGTGTTTTAATAGATATGATAGTTATAGTGATACCTTTAACGATACTGATAATGATGATAAGGATAATAGCAACAACATTGATAACAAGATCATGATACTGATGGTGATGATGTTAACGATGATGATGTTGATGACGGTGATAATGATTATGAAAAAATGTGACGGGGTGGTGGTGGTGATGATGATACTGATGGTGATGATGTTAACGATAAATATAACGGTGGTTATGGTGATGATGAGTTTAACGATGATGAAGATGATGATGATGATAAATGTGACGGTGGTTGTGGTAATGATGATGATGATGACGATTATGATGAAGATGATGACGATGGTGATGATGATTATGAGAGAGAGAGAGAGAGAGAGAGAGAGAGAGAGAGAGAGAGAGAGAGAGAGAGAGAGAGAGAGAGAGAGAGAGAGAGAGAGAGAGAGAGAGAGAGAGGGATGATGATGATAAATGTGACGGTGGTTGTGGTAATGATGATGATGATGACGATGGTGATGATGAAGATGATGATGATGAAGATGATGATGATTATGAGAGAGAGAGAGAGAGAGAGAGAGAGAGAGAGAGAGAGAGAGAGAGAGAGAGAGAGAGAGAGAGAGAGAGAGAGAGAGAGAGAGAGAGTGAGAGTGAGAGTGAAAGTGAAATTAAGAAAGAGAGATAGAAAGATAAGAGAAGAGTAGAGAAAGAGAGAGAGAGAGAGAGAGAGAGAGAGAGAGAGAGAGAGAGAGAGAGAGAGAGAGAGAGAGAGAGAGAGAGAGAGAGAGAGAGAGAGAGAGAGAGAGAGAGAGAGAGAGAGAACGAAGAGAATAGAGAGAGAGAGAGAGAGAAAGAGAGCAAGAAT